CTTGATATAAGCAATTTAATGAAGAAATTAAGACCTTGAATTGGTATTAATTTAAATGAAAATGAGCAGTTGGAGGAATAATTTAGCTTCACTTCAGGCAATTGGATGAGAAGTTCAGCATCACCTTCTTATCTGTCTTGTAGCTAGAGAGAAGGGATATCTTTGCAAGAAAAACACGTTGCACTAGCTTGAGAGCATCAGAACTTCACTTTGTTAGCTAGGCTAACGCTTTCCCCTTGTATCTGTGTAACTAGCTAGCAGGTTAGCTTTCAAAATAAAGCTCTAAAAAATAAAACATTTGAACATCAAGACCTGGCAATATAGAGCTTACCTGTGAGGGTATATTTGTTAACTTTAAAGTTAACTTAATTTTAATAGTTAATGAATATTCAAAATTTTACATTTTTCCCCTCAAATTAGCTGATTGGCTAGCTTTCTACATCTCTGCCTGTTTAAAAAAAATCACAACTTGATATTTTCTATTCATATTTTTTCTTTTTTTCATTTGTTCTTCTTTAAAAAACTAATCAGAAATTCTTTTTCTTTAATTAGAGAACTTTGGATAGCAAGGCTAGCTGGTTTCCCCGTTTGAGCTGAGCTCCTGCTGTGAATGGACAGATACAGTGATGCTGATCCTCTCATCAAATTCTCTGCAAGGAAGCCAACAAGCTCATAAAAATAGTAAAATTTGAGAGTTTTCAAAATTGCAGCATTCTTCTGTTTTATTATTTTCAGTTTTTATGTTTTTGATGTTTATTCATGTGATTGAATTTGTTCATTTGCTTTTTCACCCTGACCCGCCTCATACTGACTCCATCCTCTAAAGCCAGATCCTCCAGGCCTTCGCCAGCAGCCCACATGCCATCTTCCTCCACCTTCTCATCTTCCCCTTAATTCTGAAACTGCTTTGTATATGGGCTGAACTGTAAAACAATGAGTTTATGTATGTGAGTAACAAGTCAGGAGTGGGAGGCCGCTGTAAGGTTACTGTTAATGAGGGCTGTATTGATTTATCTGCTTTTGAATATTTCACTGCAGAGGTGGATGTTTCCAGACTCATTTTATTCCCACTTTTGTATGTTGAGGCAAGCATTTTGTCTGCTTACTGTAAATCAGTAGATGTACAGTACACATAAACAGGGTAAACGCTTTTGTACAGCAGTCTCATCATGTACAGAATGATTGTAATTGTCATTTTTGATCATTTCCTTTTTCTTTGACATATTTTAGCCTTTTTTGTGTGTTTGAGCTTAAATAAACATGAGTTATTCAGGGCGCTCAGATTTGTTTCACCACACCAATGACAAACATGAGAAAAATAATGTTTAATATAATACTCTAGGTTTATTTCAGACACCTAAACTATAAAATGACTTTTACCCTGACAAACAAACTAGAAGAAATATTATTTGATTTATACTCAATATTTATTGGTTTGGATTCATATCAGCGTGATTTTATCGACTGCCGCCAAAGTAAGAATTCCAAACTGTTCAAAGTAAATAAATTTGGAGATTAAATCAAACGTGCTTCAGATATTTTGCCTTTCAGCTCTGCGACACTCTCCTGAAAAGGCGTTCAGGGTACAGAGGGGGCAGCTGTTTGTTCTGCAGATGCAGGGATAGATGGAGTTAAGTTCAGCCAAAATGGTTTGTGTCGTGCTGGTTGCTATGAAACAGTGCTGAAGGCCCTTTTGAAGTTTCTCAAAGTTGCAATATTTTCCGCTACTAGCACTCTGTGTTCTATATGCTCTAAAGAACGTTCTAATTTCTCAACACTTGGGGTTGAAGTGGTGTTTTGGGGGGATAGCTTTCTCCAAGTTAAAAAAAAAAGTTGGATTTTATTTATGCCTGTTAGTTGTAGATAATGGCTTATTATTGCTTAATAAACATTAATAAATTGTTATTCATTTCTTAAAATGTCATCATTGCCTTTAAATCATCAAAAAGATCCTCTAATGGACCTTGCAACCTAAAGCCATTATTACTGTTAACATTTAAAAACATCCATATCTCAGTGCCTAATGTAGAATCACAGCATTTCTACTGGGAACTTGAGTCAAAATGTCAGTTTAAAGCATTACAAGTATGTCATGCACAGTTTTATTACCATAATGTGGCATGACTGCTACTTTTAATCCACAAGAGCAATGCTGAAGGGGCCAAGTGGAGGATGTGCTCTTAAAGACCAGCTTAACCCATATGGGTTTATTCAGCAATGCTTCATAAGGTCAAATATATCTGCTGAAGTTTTTTTTGTATCTATGTCTCAGATATCTGAGGAATCTTTGGGCTTAAAAGAGACAAAAACAAAAAAATATCCAACTCGGCCAACCTGTTGTCAAGTACTACACACTTAGTCCACACTAGATAGTATTTTTGTAGAAGTTTTTGCCAAACAACTTATCTTTGGCTGATGTTCCCACACAGCACAGCCATCCAGTTAAATGGCAGGTTTAATACCAATATCCACCCTAAGGCCTATAAGGACTGACTTCTCACAGTGTTCACCTGTCTGAGGAGTCCTTGAAAACTAAGGTTATTTTTAATTTCTTTAGAGCCAAGAACTTAAAGGACCAACTCGCTCAGTGGAACATCTTATAGGCTTTTGTCTTAAAGAGTGAACAAAGGGAAAACATGGCTGCTTCTCCCATACTTGGTGTTTTTCAGTAACCTTATAGTTAACATCATTGAACTTTGAAATTTAAGCAAGACATACGTGCAGTTTTTTCTGGTGCAGTTGGTGTAGGAACAACAACCAGTCTTCACAAGGCAAGCTAACAGAGGACTGTTACCAACTTTTATGATGAACTTTACATCAAAGTGCACAAACTACCATGTTGCTCTTTCAGTGATGTTGTTTGGTTGACACTGTTGATGCCCCGAATGCGCGTAATGCCCCTCAATATCCATGAATCTGTGATGTGGACATTTGGATTGAGCTGTAAGTATGAGTTGGATAGGGTTGAAGAAGGTCATCAAGCCAGCAGCAGGCCCAGTTTTGTGCATGGGGGCATTTTTGTTTACTCCAGGAAGTTTACTCAAGTGCACGTTTCTAACTAAACAGTCTGAAACAGACTCTATGAGGGTGGCATGAGGACCTGACATCTTTATTGGGAGCTGTGCTCAGACCCTGGCACTGGTCACCTCAATCGTCATTCAGCTCGTTCACACTGAGACGTGAAAAAGGAGAAACCATGGTATGTTATTTCCTTAGGTTGCTTTTTTTTTTTTAGCAATTAAAGTTTATTCTGGAAAACACAAAACAGACCAACTTGAATTGACAGATTGATTTATAAACAATCATTCTGAATAAATATCAAGCATCGATGATGGCATACTAAGACCTGTAGCATGGTCCAGAACCAGTAGTAGGATTATGAATAAGATCCAGCACCGGTCCATTGAGTGTTTGGTGACCATTAGCTTTTGATCTGCTACAAACCTCATAGCTCTAAATGTGATGCCTATATGTAATAGTTTCAGTATCCAGACTAGGAACATTAGTTTTAATCATAAATTATTAGTGATAAACTGGAAGAATATAGATTTAAAACGCCAAATAAAACCAATATAAACTGTGAAAATGTGCATTTGTGGTGTGGCCAAGATCTATGTTACGGTTTAGTGAGCAATGGGCCGCCATGAAGAAGACTTCAGAAGCAGAAAAAACAGGTTAATGAAAAACAAGTCCATCTTTTTCTTTTATCCATCCATCATTAAGTTTTCATGTGATGTAAGCTAAAGACAGAGGATGAAATCCACCTGGAAGAAAGTCTTGTTCCTCCCATTATACTACCATTTCATCTTTTCATTCTCCCTCCACTGACTGAAAGAGAAACCAAATCACGTCGCTGAATCTCCTTCTTATTCTCTGTGCTAATTGTTTTATTTCTGTTCCAATCAAAATGTGCCCTGTACTTCCTGTTTTCTTTCTTTCTTTTTTTTAAAAAACAAACAAAAAACAAAGCAAAAACAGAAACTTAAGGACAGAAGTGTAGAGGGAGGCTTGTCATTTCTGTGCCTGTGTGTTTGTACAATGCCGTGAAGTTCCTGTTGTAGTTTCCTGTGTGTGTCAGCTCTGATGATGGCTGACAAAGCAAGCAGCAGCTGTTTTTAGTGAAATATTAAAGCAAACACTGAATCTAAGCAAGAACTCTGACTGTCTTTAATTGAACCTCCATTGCACCTATTTTCTGCTGATATATCAACTTTTTTATTAAAAGAAATTGAGCCATGTAAAAGATTTAAAACAAAAGCATATTCCCTGTTGCTTTATGTATTGAAATCCCATACGTCATGGTTGAGTAAACTCTGTGGAGAGCAGACTCCCTTTTGTTTACCCTCTTTTCTTTTTTATTTATTGATATAGTGGCACCGTGGTAATTAAGGCTCCCCAGGGGCCAACTGCATCCAGCTTTGCTGCAGTAAAACACCTCTGTTTCTTACAGGCAGCAGCTGCTGCTAATGATGGCCACAGTTACAGAGACTTTTGTAGAGTTTAAATGGTTCTAACAGGTTACACAAACCCATGAAATTAAACAGTCCTTGGGGCTTAATTCTTGACCACTAGAGTAAATACTAATAACATTTCATAAAG